CACCAGGACACTCAAAAAATAAACAAATTGGCGGAATCATGGCCGCTCGTACAGCTAGCACAACAAGTGGACGAGGAGTATATAGAATGCGCCCGTGCCTACCCTAAAAAGGTCATTAAAGGGGGAAGATAAGAATGACGGTAGATAAGGTGTGAACAGATATAGGACTGAGGCCCCATCAGAGCTGAAGTGGGCCGGAAAGAGAACTGAGTCCAATTGACAATGCGAACACAAAAAAGGACTGAGTCACTTTAATGTTGGTCTACTTTTTGCTGTTTGAGTTTGGTTTGTTTAAAAAGGACTATATGTGAAAACATGTCACTGTCAGAATTTCCTCTCTGTCCATTGCAGGGAAATCAAAAAAGGAGAAAGAACCCATCGTCTGACGTACTTTGAGTATGATTGGAGCTCCGGGTTTCTGCTCCAGAACACCGGATAGACTGAGGGGCTCCAGGTACGGGTTGGGGTAGTAGACGAAGATGGTGTTGTTGTAAGTGAGCAGAGCTTGAACGTTGTTGAAGACGAAGCCGAACTCGTCCGCGTGTTTGATCGTCTCCTGGTCGGCGGTGTAGTCGGCCTTCAGAGACGGGGCGAAGCAGCTGATGGTGGTGGTGTTGAGCACTTTGCACACCTGGAGAAGAATCGATACGGTCAACGTCACACAGGTCACAGCACATACAGTACCCACGACCAGACCGAGTGTGAGACGTAGCACAGTATGACAAATGTCTTTTGATAGCAAAGACATTTTAAACCCTCTAGTCATTGTTCATTTCACTTCATGTGAATAGTTTTTTAATAAGGCAATATATACATTGTACTCTTTGTAAATCTAGAAAGCACATTTGCTTAATAGATCTGAACAGATGCCTCGTTTCATGCCCATCTGCGGTGGAATTACTGTTGTCAGTCATTTCTTAACATCCAGATGTTGTGAATCTTTTGGAGCCTTTTAATCATAATCAACTTGTGTATGAACATAAATATACTGACGACCTCTGTGGTGTTAACCTATATAACCTCCAATATCTGTTGCAGTATTGCCTGTAGATTTACGTCCTATCCATATGTTCTATGTCTGCTCTCGTGTTTTTGACCTTCTGTCTGTAAATGTATGACATCTGCTTTGCCACGATGATAGAGCGCTGCAGGGACGATGTTATTTTGTAATACCAGCCCTGGAAGTTATCGTTGCACTTGTTCCCTCCACAAAAAGCCAATGGGATTTTTTTGTTTTCCCCAATTTGGATTATTGGACAAAATAAAGTCTGTGGCAGACACAGGTTTATGATAATTACACATTTTTTTTGAGCAAGATGATCTTCACAAATGAACCCCACTTTTACGATTTTTGAAGCGAGAAGACAATCGGCAGAAGTAAAAAGCTAACGTTAGGCTATAAACGAAAGACAACGAGGCTGCGATGGCATTTTCAAAGCTTCAAAATGCACATGAGGGGTATTTACTAAAGTATTTTATGTCATGGAACAAAACGATAAAATCACTAAAGCTTGTGTCAACCAGAGACCTTATTTCAGGCATCAAACCAAAAAAACATTTAAAAAACCCATTAACTTCAAGACGAGGGCACCGAGTGCAAAGACGCTGACTCATTCCTGGGTTTTAGGACTCACTCCTGCAGCAATCTACAGTGCTGAACACTAAAGGCATCCCAGAGTCCTTGGTCAAATGTTTTTATCTACCAGAAACTGTATTCCATATAAAGCCAATCACTCGCTCCCTTGGTGAGGTTAATATCACATTGTTAGTTATTGGTACTCTCTGGAATTGGCATGTGCTTTGTGTTTCCCTCAGCAATTCTTGAAAATCCTCCTCTAAATGAAGCAGACACGTTGAATTCCCCCAGCCTCAGGCCGGTTTTTTAAGCTTCAGTTTGTATCTAAGGTTTCACAGAAAGTTTGTTTCAAGTCAATTAACCGCTTTTGTGAGTCAAAACATTTTTTAAGCAACTCCAGTGATGTTTTCGAGATATGTGCGATTAAAGCGACTGCCCTCATTACATTTGCCAATGACCCTCCTTTAGCAGCTGAAGCGGGTCAAAGTTCAGCTTTAATCCCTTCAGATCTCAGTACTGCCAGTGACACCGTAAAACATGCAGCTTTAATTGACTGGCTCAAATTCTGGGCTGGCATCATTAACGCACCATTTAATTAGCTCAGGGCAAACCGCTCACACACAGCATTGTCATCAGCACTTTCAGTGGCCTCATCATGGGCTTTCTTTCACATGCTTCCTCCTGAGCTTTATTATCTTTAGATATAGTGTTTATTTCCACAGCTTTGACAACAAATTAGATCTTTTCAATTTTCCAGGGTAGTTTAACCCAAGCTGACTTAAATATATAAGCATATTTATTGGTCTAGACAAAGCCATTATCGCCTTGTCTCTTTTCTTTATTTCGCCATCAATAAACTCTGTCTTTAAAATGTCTACCTTACGCTGCTAGAAGCAAACATGCTCATCGTTCCATTTCTGTTATCTCTTCAGCGGTTACTAGAATGGATTTTTAAGAATATATGGATCTATTTCGAGGTCAAGCCAAAAGTTCCGCCCCAGAACTTTCGACCCCACTTCAGCTGGTGTGCAGTCTCAAATCCTCAGGCAATTCCCTGACTGGTCCAGAGTTGAAAAATAAAGGGCTAAAGGTGACTGAACTGATGCCGCCGGGGCCCCGACACTCTGGAACAATCGATCACTTTGAAACGAAATGCCTGAGGAGCTCAGACGAGCAGAATCGGCACCATAAATCACCTCCCAAAACTCAGTTGTGTCAGTCTTTTTAAAATCTCATTTTAGAGTGAACTCCTCTTTATGCTACCTCTGTCTAACCCCTTTGTCTATGTATGGCTTCATTTTGACATTCACAGTGACGCTGACATTTTCCAAACTACGGCCTATTAGATTGTGCCCGCAGGATTTCCAGCTCTTTTTGGACAATTCGCTCTCCATCCTCCAGTCTGTTTGGTCCAGAGACCAGTTGTTTTTCCGACTCTGACTCACACTTTAGTAGTGCAGTAGGTAGATAATATTTCATACTCAAAACTAAACCAGCTCTAAACATCCTGTCCCCCTAAGATGTGTAAAACTAAAGAGGTTTGTGACTAAGGCTGTATAAATGCTTTACAAAGATGTCACCACGGATCAGCGTGTAAAAACAAAACCCCGGGCCCTGAATCTCCCTGTTTACGACTGTAGCAAACTGTCAATAAAGAACAACTTCAGTGTGACATTTCCATCAGCTTGAGTAAGCAACGCCAATAAAAGTTGAGTGCAGTGTATTAGCAGTTGTCACACTCACATTGACGGATTCATGGCCGGCGTATTTGACTCTGACGCGCGGCTCCTGAACCACATCCAGGTTGGTCCCGGTCACCGTCAGTGTGGTGTGTCCGCTGTTTTGCAGGGAAGGAGAACGTTTTTCCATTAGTACCGAGAACTATTGGTCAAAAACACATGCACATACACATGCACATATACAAGCGCTCCACCTCAGCTCCAGGTAGCCCGCATGTGAATGCGAGCTGCGATTCTCAATGATTTAATTGGTGTGACCACTGCGAAGAGAGCAATCTTTGCAAACCCCACGTTTTTTTCCAGAGCAACTGCATTAATGCAGGTTTGAGGAGGTATAGCTGGCGCGGCAGCTCGCTCTTTGTTATTGGGCAGGAGAGCCAGATCAAACGGCAAACCAGCTGGCTGCTATTTTATATTCATCCATGACTGTGGGGCTGGCATGGCATGAATGCGGGTGCTGCTTGTTTACATATCTGCTCTAGATGTGATTAAAATAAACAACGCTCTCTCATCTCTGTGTAACCTGTGCTGCAGCGTGAGCTCAGAAACCCAAAGTATGGAAAAGCTGGAAAGTAGAGAAGCAGAGACAAAAGAGGCGGGGTGGGGGGGGGGGGGAGAAATACAAGAGAGAAGTGATGAAAAAATGGCGTAAAAGAAGAACTGGCCAGCCTTGTCAGCCTGACGGAGTGCCAATCCTTCTCTTCTCACACTTCAAAGGGTACCTAAGCTTGTAGGGCCACATAGTGGGACAGCATATTCATGACGAGGGCTCTTGGTTGCAGCTCCACAAAGCTCCTCCTGTCACTAGGCTGAGGGCCAGGGTGGCTTTCTGAAGTCTAATCTGCAGGGACGTAGCGCTGGGTAATCCCACCCGCAACCAAATTAATTAAGTGCCGTCATTTATTTAGTTGGAATACAGGTGACGCACCTTTTTTTTTTAGCAGCGACAGAGAATTCACTCACTCTAATAGTGTCAGCCTCACACTCACTCGCATTAATATTTTAGTGAAATGTGGCATAACTAAAAGTGCTGTTTTTTAAACAAAGATTGTCGTTTGTTTAGATTAGTCAACCTTGCCAACCAACAGCCGTGATAGAACTGACAAGCACAACGCCTCAGTTCTTTGCATCACTCTCTCTGTAAACTCACAGATTGCCTGGCGCTGCTATAATCTGAACTGGGCAGGCCACCACATGAAGGCAGGATGGTTTTATTTATAACATTTGATTTCTAGTTGAAAGATTGAAGATTGACAGATAGTGTCCTTGGCTTTGCGTTGATCAGCTAACATTTACTTTCCTCTTATGTGCGTCACCCTTCGTTATACTTCCTAGAGGCTGGGATTTGATGACAGCACGACCGTAACAATTAGAAATACAGTAAAAAAAAAGACAGCAAACAATTGCAATGTGGATGCAATGTGCATTCGCTAGTATTCATCATGCAATGTGAAGAGCAGCTCAAGCTCACGCTCACACCCACTTACAGTCTCACCAAGGGGCTGCGCTCATCAAATATGCAACATGCAAGCTGCAATTTAGCCAAACGAGATCACTTCCTCTCGCATTACTTGTCGAACCTTTCTCTAATCAAAAGTAACACCGTACTTGCAACCCATGAGCATGTGAGAGCTGACAAAGTTATCCACACGCCGTAAAGTTTGCGCGCCTGTGGACTGTGTGAGGTAACACGATCACAATAAAAAACACTGGGAGGAGTTGCAAACTCCACACAGGAAGCTCCAGAGAATAAACCTCCATCCTCCCGAAGTACCATGCAGTGTACACATGCGTCTGTTATCTGTGTGTGTGTGCATTACCTGGTGATGCTCCACAGGGGTTCAATACGCTGGACTGTGGGGTCTTCTATGTACTCAAAGGCCAGACTCCCGGGAACTTTGGCCCGGTCGACGCTCAAACTGACCTGCACCGGTCCGGCTCTCGTCACGGACGGCGCAGAGAAGCACACGATCTCGGACACGGTGCGCCTGGTGGGGACACGGGAAGAGCGATTTACTCACGCCTTTCTGACTGTGACTCTGCCCCCTCGCTATTGCGGTGGCAGATCCCTGACTTCACGCAGTTATGAGCCCTGCACATTACCACTAGAGGAGACGATCCATTATAGTCTGTCCCGTCTCTTCCTCATTACAGACACATTAGGGATGGAACACTGTAATTAGAAGGTGCTCTAGCTAATGGCTTCCTCGACTCACCCTCCTGACTCCTACCATGTGAGGCATTTTGAACTTTTAAATAGATCGCTATAAATACACAGAGAACAAAAGCCACTGCTGTGGGTTTCATCACCTCCTCACAAATCATTAAGACTTTTCATGCAACGCACGAACATTTAATTGTATCCAAAGTGTGCTTCTTTAAATAGAGTGGTCTCTCGCTGTGTTTCATGGAGATTAGAGAAGGCTTAGTCTTTGATATTGTGTGGAGGAAGTCTCACTTCTGTGAATCTGAAGTCTAAAGGAATGTAAGGTGTAACGTAACATCGGGAAGTCGTGTTCTCATCACCCACCTGTACAGCTCACAGGTCTGATTGCCAAAGTACACGTTAACAGTGCTGCCAGCGCCCAGGTTCTCCCCGACAATGGTGACCTTGGTGCCCCCAGATTCAGGCCCTCTGCCTGGGGTCAGTGCCAGCATCGAAGGGGTCTGAGGAGAACCAAAATTCATTAATGATTCACACTCAACATAGATCAAACACAGATTACAGTGCTTCTTATTAATCGTCCACCGGCCTCGGCTAATTAACCTCTGTGGAACTCAAAAGTTAACATCAAAACTCTTTAAAAACAAAAAAGGTCGACAAATGAGCTTCTTTGGAGAATAAATGGTAATGAAGAATGACCCATGTTCATCACATGTTCATCCTAATTCATAGCTTCAGAACAAATGGACAAAGTGAATGTGTTTGAGTGCCAGAATCACCACAAAGGAGTAGAGCTGGGAGGACTGCGCTCGTAGTTCTGGTCTGCATTCGCCAACACACAGCTTAACGGGACCTGGAGCACTTCTTTTAGGAGCTGCAGCCATCTCGCACACAATCCTATCCAGACAAAAGACACAAAGACACAAATGTTGGTCGGGAAAAAAACAAACAGTCATGCAACAGATCATGGTGCATACAAAGTAGTGGTGTAGCGGACCACTGTCGATCCGTACGGATTCCCCCTCACGGTTCAGCACGCATGTGAACCACAGATTAATTACAGTTTAAGATTAACCATCACAGTGTGAAATACAATCTTACTCGTAAAATGTAGTGTTGGTGAGAAACTTGAATAAATCCAGTTGTTTGAAGGAGATGTTTCCACAACAACATGAATAGTTATTAGAGATGAACTATGACCTCTGTACACTAACTCTAAGCAGCTTACAATACATCATTAAAACTACTAATGACAAGATTTGTTTTAATCCATAAATTATTGCATTATTATCCAATGTTATTTCCTAATCATTTAAATTGTGTTTTTATGAAGAGAAACAAAACAACTATAGATGATTATAACAAAGCAAAAGTATAACGTAGAATTTTGGATGGTCTAAACTGACTTCACAGCGGTTGAACTGTTTTTTGGGGTGGATGGAGCCTTGTAGACCAGCTGCTATAATCAAACAACAAAGGGATCTGTATCTGCCATTATGGATCATCAACGATCATCAATTAGTGTCAGTGGCAAAAAAAAAAACGTGATCAGGGATCTCAAAAAGTTATACTTGCTCCTTTTTTTTCTTTTGTGCTGATCCGATTCGTGACTCTGATCCGTGACACGATCGCAACCGTGAGTTTTATGATCCATTGCACCGCTACATGCAAGTAATAACAAAAGCCAGGCAAACACACACACACACACACGGCAGAATCACCCACTGTATCACATCTGTTACGTATTGCACAGGGGGAAGGTGGCCTCTGCTGGCCGGTGTGATTGAGGCAGACTTTCATAGAAGTTGTGGGTCAATACAGAGGGTCGTCTTTCTTCCTAATGGGAAGCCTATAACAGCAATATAACTCAAATGATAAACTGCACCCCTCCCCGTCTTCAGCACAATTGCCACCCACCATTACCTCCGGTTGCCATGACAACATAGGGGTTTCTTCGATAAATCAGTATTGCCTGTCAGGTCAATAAGATGAAGTGTGCCGTGAATAAGTCATTATAGCAACTGACCCCATGCTGAAATTAATGGTGGTAACAGTTGTAATGCCATGTTTTAAAGCGCCGTGTGTGCCGTGTGAACAGCCCCGCTACAATAAGACCTATGAATCGTCCTCGCCCATCCCTTCTATTCATAAATCACGGGAGTTTTCCAATTTTCTGCTGGCACGTTCTTTTCTTTTTCTCTCTATTTTTTTTTTCTTCTTTCTTTTTTTACAAGGATATAAATAAAGTCCCTGCAGCCTGAGCCCAATCGCATTACATGGCTGTGAGAGAAACACATGGCTAACATATTGTCCCTCCAGTCAGCGACATGCAGTGCATTTCAATTACAGCTGTGCCGACAGCCTCATAACGACAGTGACACAAAGACCGTCTCTTCCTTTGGCTCTGACTGCACCAGAGCAATGCAAAGCCCCCCCACACACACACAATCCTACAACCTGATGAGGCATCACTGGGCTCCAGCTTATTCACAGATTCTGCTAGTGACTGAGGGGAAAAAAATTGTGTGAGAGAGAGAAAGAGATTGTGTTTATTTTGTGTGTGTGTGTGTGTGTGTGTTTGCATCTGCACTGTATGTCTATGTACGGTACAGTATGAATCCATGCGTGTCTGGGCAGGGGAGGGGAGGAGTCTCTCTTACTGTTCTGCAGTGATGTATCCTTCCTCCTGTGGGATGCACTGCACACCCGCCACCTCCACGTTGCCCTCCAGCTCAGAGAAGGACAGACCCAGGTTCAGGCCCTGGATGGTGACCAGTGTGCCCCCCTCCAGAGGTCCCGCCACTGGACTCACCTACGTAGGAAGGAGCATAGACTGTATTTAAGAAGTAGACGTGACGTCATTGGTTTGTGGAGTGCTGTTTTGAAGCCTTGAGTTCTGCATTTTGCCAGTCGCCATCTCGGTTTCTGGCCGTCGCCATCTTGTTTTTTTGCAACCAGAAGTGACAGGAGAAGGTGGAGCTAAGTACAACCGAATGCTGAATAAGACATTTTTAAGCGATGATACAAATGTTACAATTAACTTTCATGAATTGAAAACCCACTGTCGACAAAAACGCGGACAACGCCGTGGTAGCAACCTGTCAATCACAAGGTTTCTCATAGACTTCTATACAACCAGAGGAGTCGCCCCCTGACGGTCATTAGAAAGAATGCAAGATTAAGGCACTTCTGCATTGGCTTCACTTTTCAAATAACACCTCAGATACACATATGTATATATATTTATATTCAAGAATTTCATATTGGAGAATAATGTGCCTTAAAGAGAGTTTCATTCCAAAATAATAATTAAATGTAATTGGTTACAGTGTCGGTTAAGAGTCACATGGATTCAACGGTTTTCCCATCCCAAGAGGAATATAATTATGTTGACTTTCCAGTTCTGTATAAGTCTTGGGCAGAAATATCAATTGTTGGCGACTTTAATACAAAAATACCGACCCTCAAAATGTGTATTGGTTCAAGGACGCCTAAAACCTTCACAGCAACCAACGCAACCTAGAAGTGCTATTTCAAATGCAGCTGGGGCTTCTTTTAAGATTCTCAATTCTTCAGATTCGTTGAAGAACCTAAAGTACTACATGACCTGAATGACTGAGCATCTCCACAGACACACTTCCCACTGTGTAATCTCTATGTAAACATTAAGTAGATTTACCTTAAGTCCCATACTGACAGGAAGTTTCTTTTTTTTTTTTTTAAAGCTTTGAAATCCACCATAATTCAAAACAAACTTTACTGAATAATGCAGTGAATAACAAAACCCTGAGAAACCTATTGACAGTGTCCCAGCGGGAAACCTTTGGACCTGCAGAGCAGAACAGGAGCGACACTCCCTCCACTCCCGAGCAGCACTCAGCTGCAGCTCCTTCAGGAACACTAATAATGTGACGGGGACTTCAAAGGGTCGCGCCTCTTTGAAGTGCAGGAGCCCTGCATCTCCGTGTCTGACCCACTGTGCCTCATTCTGGAGAATGAACAGGAGTTTGTGACATAAAAGATCCATCACCGCTCTCTAAACAGACTGAATTCGTTAAGCTGTCAAGCACTTAAGGTATTCAGCCGGCGTGGGATAAAATGCGAGATAGTCTCAGGTAAACAGGCACTTGGATGGGAAATTGGAAGGTGGCCACGCATAAAAGTGTTTGTTGTTGATATTTTCACAAGAATATCCAACAAGATGTCTCGGCCTATTGTTTCCGGATACTTAGAGGTATGAATACTCGGATGATGGTTGAAGAAACAGGCTTGTGACTGGACATTTATGGGCAGTGGTCTTTTAACCCCCAAACTCTCTCAGTAAGTAAACAGCAGAACTCAAATGGTGCTTTCCGAAAGTAAAAGCTATTAATTATCTCCACGGGAAAAGTCGTTATGCGGACAATATATATGCATAGGAACCAAAACTATGGTATGTGTACCTGTAGAGAGTTTACTCCCATATTTCTGGAGAAGCACAAAACTGACACAAATAAAAGTAGTGATAGAGTAGATCCAGCTACTGTAAAAAACGACTTCATCTTTGTTTCTCCATCAGACACGCCTCGCACCTCAGTCAATGAGTTTAGCTTTTTTTTTTATTGCTAACAAAACTCCCAAAAGAAGACTTTGCCTTCCTTGCATCTTTAACTTAAAAGTTTCTGAACAAATGACCACAATGTCACGATTGCTTTCAACTGATTTGCCAAGTTCAAGACGTACAATTTGTATTCCTTGGAGTTTCTGACATATCGTATTGCAGCTCTGTTGTTTTAATTGGCATGACGCGTCACCGAGTCATCGGAGAGCTGAAAGAAAGCTGAGACCAGTCAGGCGTCAGTTTGTAGCTTCATGTCAGCGGCTTAAATAGAAAATGACTTGTAGCCTGTTGCTGTGTCGCCCATAGTGTGAACACACCAATCATACGTTTCTGTTCTAAAAAACGCAGTTAGCCTGTTCCCATTGCTATTTAAGGACATAACTACGTCAATGATCGCCCGAGCAACACTTCAACAGCGACTCACCGACAAAGTAGAACGCCAATTTTGGTCCTTTTGTTCCCTTTGTCGCTCATAGTGTGAAATATTTTTTTGAATTGTCATATGCATACGGGTACAAACATGAAATTTGACTTCTTCATTCAAACCATAAGCATTAGGAGCGGTGGGTTGCTGTAAAGCACCCACAGAGCAACTTGGGGCTCATTCGCTCAGGGACACTCCAGCAAGCAGACAGTAGGATCACAGATCGAACCACCAACCTTGTGTTTGAAGGACGATCCGCTCTACCCACTGAGCCACGGCCGCCCCAAAGCAGAAGAATGACAAATGCGTATAACACTCTCAACCACCAGAAACTACTCATTCTAGTTAATTACTTGGCTAAAGGAACTCGCATCTCACAATTAAATTGCACAATAAGCCTAGCGGCTTGACGGGATTGACTGACCGGGCAAACAAACAAACAACTGACCTCAGTGATGCGTGGGTTGGTGCACTTGACATTCTTGGCGGAACGGTCCAGCCAACGGCTCGCATAGGGTGAGATGGGAGGACAGTGCTGCCTCATGGTGCATCGGCCCTCACCGCTGCACCATCCACACTGGAACTTCCTCTCCGCCCGCAGACACATGCCACAGCTGTCCCGCTGGGCGCTGCACTTGTAGAGGTGCACTGTGGGACACCGCAGAGGATCTCTGGTCAGTTAAATAACAAGTCATTTCGGCGTGTCAATATTGAGGTTTTTGAAGAACATCGCCGGTATAATAGCTTATAAATCAAATGTCAGCCATAGAATATGCTGTAAAAGCGCCAGCAGGGAGTCGTGACAATTCGATTTAGACAAACTGATTCACACATTCTTAAACAGCAGGTATTTACAGTCAATTCCATAAAAAAATGAATAACCGCCTACAACCGAGGAGTCAACTTGAGAATTCACCTAAATTCGTATTGTTTAAATTCCTTCTTCCAAGTATTAAGGAAAAAAGATGGCGAGGTAATCCAATAAACCTTTCTTTGAAGTCTGTCGCCTACATCCTCTCTCCTGTAAGTAGTCTGTATTCATGCCCATATAAAGTAACTTGCCTGCGTAACAAAAAGGCCTGTTGAAATTCATGGCCATCACTGTGTATATCCTTGGCAACAGGGATGCTTTTAATGCACAACCCACAATGAAAACTCGTATGATGATGGAGAGGACAACCAAGAGCAGCTACGAGAGCGAAACTGAGCAAATATGAAGATTCACCCTTCACCCCTCCGGGCACACAAGTGATTGGGTGTTTTTTGATAAGACTCCCTGCTATTGTGAACTTTCTCTCAAGGCCCTTTGGGAGCCTTATAGTGGTCTCTATGACCCATCTATCCCCCCGTGGATTGAGTGCTTTACACTTCTCTGGCCTGGCAGTGATGGATGGCAGAGGCACCTTTAATCTTCTCGGGATTGTCGATGATGAAATTGCCGTTCCATACGATGGAAAGGTCCACTGCCAGGTCACTGATCTTCACACCCTCGTACAAGTACTGAAAAGCAGAGACAGAGAGTGAGGGAGTGTGCGGTAAGTGGATCCAGAGAGAGAGAGAGAGAGAGAAAGTCAAAGCACGACAGAGGATAGAATGAGACAGAAACAAAGTCAGAATGGAGGAAAATGAGCGAATGGAAGGGCAGAAGAGAGATGAGGTTCTTAACCATCTGTCATTTCTGCCATGGTTGTCTGCTCCTCTCCTCTTTGACATGTAGGGACGCAAACCCTGGCTGGGGCGGCCAATCATCCACATCTGCGGAAAATGGCCTTTTCATTCACTGTCACAGAGCGGCAAGGTATGCTTTGCATTGGAATTTAGCCTCCGATTTGCATTGTGCAACAAACATCTCCTGTATTCATCCCAGACCTGTGACTTTCTGTCGGGAACATCCCCTTTTCGCTTGGCGAACGCCGAGCCGTTAGTCCGACAATATGCAGCTCACGAGACAAGGTCGTGTTGAATTCAGGGTTTCCATCTTTTTCACTTTACACCATACACATTTTTTTTTTCTAACCTTTCCTTCCCTTGTCGGTCTCCTTTCCCTCGAATGCCTCGCACCTTTTGCCATCACTCTCGCTTTCCCTCTCCTCTGCTTTCTCCTCATATGCTCAGGCGTCATGCACTGATGTACCCTATGCACCTTGCCTACACAGCATCCAAGCTGTCTGCCTCATTTGACAGCTGTGAGACTCCCACTGGGAGTGTTTGAGGTCATACCGAGCTGTTCTGGCACTGCACGCTGGTGCTGTTGAAGCGCAGCGCCGTGACACGGTGGATGACACCCTGCACGTGCACCACGCACTCGTAGCCCCGCTGGCCCGACTGCGGCTGCGGGAGGTTTCGGGCCCTCAGCGTGATGGGTCGGACCTCACCGGCCGGCAGGAGGATTTCCCCAGAGTGAAGGAGCTGAGGGCAGTCCTGTGAAAACAGTGTACAAACACACATAATTGTATTATTCACGGAAAGAGAGCACACACTCTTTCATGTTGTCCGGCCTTTATATTACCCATGCATAATAATAATCCCTTCGGAGATTAATTGAGTTATCCTTCTACACTATCTAGTTATCTATTTTTAGTATGTATCTTCTGTCTTCTATCTGTCAATGCATGTAATCTGTGTCAATATATATGAATGTATAATATAAACATGAAGGACTGCAGGTATTATTGGGGCAAACAAATCGCTAATCCGAATATAATTTGCATTCATATGCTACATGTTACACTTTCCACTACGGTAAACTATGTAAGTAGTATTTATTACATATTTTTTAATCCATAGTAATAATGATGCTATTTTTCCGTCAGTACCCAGAGGATGAATACTAATGACTTTGCTGAAATTTTCCACTTATCCAGTAAAATATTAAAAAATCTACTGGATGGGCTGTTGCCGAGATATTCAAGGACTTTGGCGAGCCCCGGACTTTTCCTCTTGCGCCACCATGAGGTTGTTTTTTCCATTTGATTTTGATTGACATGACACGTGGTACAGACATTCCTGTCAGGAAAAGCCATAGTAACTTTGGTGATGCCCTGACTTTTCTAGCACCATCATCTGGTCAAAATTTCAAATTGTGGTTGGTGTTTTGAGCATGTTAGCATTTAGCTCAAAGAAACATTGTGCCTTTAAAACCAGCTGCCAACATGTCTGTAGACTCTTAATAGTCTTACATTTAAATCACGGACTGTGCCTTTAAGGTAAAAGTGTCACACAGGAACAGATAAATGGTGCTCTTAAAGGCTTCAGGTTAATCAGCTAACTGTAGCTCTCTTTATGTTAACGGTAATGCACAGCACCTCTGAGGCGTTGACTCTGCCCTCCTGGAAAGAACAGCTGCTGGGGTCGTGGGTGCACAGGTTGCGGTATTTACACCAGTGGCAGCGAAAAGTGCTGTTTACACAGGACAGACACCTGCAGGGACAAATGAATGCGTTACTACTTGACATGCACAATTTTAATTGAGTGGCTCTGTATTTACATAATATGTAAAAAGCTTTATTCCTTTTTTTCCTTACTCATTACCCACATCTTCCTCTCCTGTGTGAAGATGATTGAAAAGAGGAGACTGATGAAGGATTACAGCTTTCAGCTCAATTTATCGTGTCAGTGTGTTTCACTGAAAGATCAGATGTCCCTATTTTCTATGCAACCAGCAATGAATTGTGGTCTTTTTGTCAGGGATGACAATAAATGACCTGAGGTATGAAGTCTTGGCAGGAGAGTCCCTGTCACTTAAAGCACTCTTAAGCAATTTAAAGTAAAAAAGTGTTGGACAAAAAGATGTAGAGGACCTGCAGCGTCCTTGCCCTGAGCTTTATAATTTCATTATTCATTTTTTACACACGCTTGCTTTATATTTCTGGTTTTTGACTGCAATGAAAAACAGTACATTTCATTCGTCCAACTCTGGCTTGTACACAAAATCTAGAATGAAAAGTGACAACTGGATATCTGATGGGTGGAATTGCGCCACATCTTTGGCTTGGATTTGCTAAACGGCAGCCAGCGGTCAGTTGTGGATTAAAGTTGTGCTGAACCCTGTCAGACTGGATTTCATCACATTTCATTCAGCAAACGGGGAGCTGATGGTGACACAACTTTGGGTGGAGGACTTAGAGAGGTGAGGAAGTTACGAGAACAGAGACGAGTCTTCCTGTGGGGGGCCACGCAGGCTTCGCTGTGTATAATAGAGGTGTGTGGAAAACAGATCAGTGCTCTATCAAAATCATGTTCTCCCAAAATTGGTCATGCAATAAGATGAAACCATGAAGAAACTATCAAACCACTAGCAGCACTCCAATACTGCGGCTCATAGCAAGCTATACGAATGCCAATAAATGTAGTGCAGCGGCATTACATTTTGATATTAATTAGCTGCCCAGGGCCAGTATGGACATAAAAATGTGTGGGTGTGTGTGAGAAAGAAATTTTGAGGGGTTGGGTATTAATAGAACTGGACTGGCAGGGAGCTGCAAACACTGGATAATTAATTATGGAGGTTGATGTGACGCTGAGCTGGCGGCGGTAGTGGGGGGATGTGGAAGAAGAGTTGCTGGGTGAAGAGTGTGTTTGGCTTGAAATATTAATCACAGGAGTTCACAGGGTCACGCTGCAGCTAATGGAGGCTGTATCGGTGTGGTGGGGATGTGATGAGCCTCCGACTGTTTCTCTCTAATGGCTTAATGCGGTTATATTAGGGCATTCATGTCGCAGTCAAAGAGCATTTTGAATAGGTGGCATGTGTATCCACTGTGGGCTAATTTCCAAGGTTCGGCTATGAATCAATCGAGGGACTACAGAAACAAATACAAACATCAAACACCAACGTATATCTCTGAGAAAATTAGTTAAAGCTGCCTTCTTTCTCAAGTCACAAGGCATGGCAAAACCTGACATCAATCAAATATTCCCTCCTAGAGTGAACTCATTGTACATCCCTGTATCCAGCTTTTGTGCGCTCGTGGTTGAGTATAACTCACGGCGCCGTCGAAGGTTAGTGAAGTGTGCATAAGAGGCTGTCAGTTCAAATCTCTGTAACACCTCAAAAACTAAAGGAATTATTACTTTCCCTGTCCAAGTATGTGGACAAAAATGTAAAAAAAAATAATAAGAATCATGGTGAAGGTCTATTGGAGTAACTAATTCAACGTTTGGCCTTTCTGGAGGTTTGTTAAGCTGTGAAAGCTCGTAAAGTTTCTGATTTGCAGACACCTTTTAAAGCCGACAAATGCTGCTAATTGGCATTCATCCTAATAAGATCCACCTTTTGTAGCAGTGCTTGCAATTGCTATTCAGCAATACAGCTGACATTAGCATAATGGCTCAAAGTCAAAGCAGCTCCCCTGCCCTGTCGAGAAATTTATATTGGCAAGACAAAACAGATGAGTATTTAAATAAATTCCTCGTTAATTTACATTATTTTATCCACCCTCAAAGCACCAGAGCGAGGCTATCAAATCTAAAATGTCTCAACACAAACAGTCGTCTGGCTGGGACGCTCAGGACAAAGTCAAGTCAGAAAGGGGATGTGTGAGTCTGCTGCTTATCTATTCAGGGCTCCTCTGGGACTGCTGGCCTACAGCGAAGCACACTCCGTTGCACCAGTAGAGCAGCTCAGCTATGAACACCGTGGGTCTGCTATGCAGTTTCCAGATGTGAAAATGTATACGGTATTGCAAAGCCGAAGCAAACGGGCCAAGGCAAATGCATCATGTTGATTTGAATGAAACCTGACAGATAAATGGAACACTGAGGTTCTCTAACAGCCCAATCTTAAGTAGAGTTGTGAGCATCAGTACATCGTTGCCCTAAATCAAGTAGTGCTCCTCCGTCTATTGAACAAATTAAAGACAGGGGTGGGGATGGGCAGCTGGACTCACGTCTGATGGGTGCTGCAGTTGTAGAACTTCACCTCTGTGCTGGCGACCATCTGACCTGTCTCCTTTGAGTTCAGACGAAGCTCTACGCCAGCCCAGTCTGAGAGAGAGAGAAAGAGAGAGAACATAATGAGTGAAAGGATGGAGAGAGGGAATTAAAATGATGCAATAGAGAGAGAGAGAGAGAGAGAGAGAGAGAGAGAGAGAGAGAGAGAGAAACAAAAAGGAAAGGTGAAAGAACGAAAACAATGATCGAAAAGACGAGGTCAAAATGAAAAAAGAAATGTTAATACTTTTATCGCACTTCTGTAAAGAGCCACCTGGTGTCTGCATCTCTGCCGGGGCATATTGCTGTTGTCGTGAGGAAAACCTTCAGTCATAAACTTCAATCGAAGGATTACTGTATATGCTCTGAGTAAATCCTACGGCTCCTTGGTACTTACGGAGCTCCTTGGATAAACAAAAAATGCAAGGTGGTCCATCTGAAAGGAAAGCTGGTGGGTTTTTTTGGGTGTGTGTCTGGAATATTGATATTAGAAGTTCTTCACCTGACATTGGCATCACCATCAATCAGTTTTTCGTTGGTTTGTTTTGACACGAGAGGTGTCTGAGCTCACCTTGTCCTTCTGGTATTTGAGGGACCTCCTTCCCGGCCGGCGACAGACACATGACCCTGTTCCCGTTGACGTGACCGTCCACCTGGGCCTGCCGGCCAAATGAACAGGTGATTCCAGCAGAAAGGTCTGGAACATTATTCACCTCCAGCAGAAGCTTAAAAGAAAAGCAGAGGACGAAGATGTTAATGGGCCGAAACTTGTGACAGGCCAGGTTGATTGGGCCGGTTTTAGCCTGCTATATTAGGGTGGCTAGTAGGAATGATAGGCCGGCAACTAGGGCAGGAGGTAGCCCAGAGGTTTAAGTGGACTAATAGCACAAAGGTTGAGTCCACTATGTACTACAATTCTCACAATATTTTCAGAAAGCACGACAAAATGGCAAACTTGATTTTGGACACAGCCCGGGCCAAACAGCATTTTGTTTCCTTTGGCTCTGTCTAAAGATGATAACATCTGCACTTCTCAAACCCACTAATTAACACGTTAAATCTTGGTTTATACATCTGTACGAAGGCCGACCTGTAAAAACGACTACATTGACGGAAGTTACTGCTCCTGGCCAACAAATAGCCCGGCATACAACCCCCTTTGTGAAACCATAACCCATTGTTTTTACACATCTGTTTCTGTACGGACTGAACAAATGAGACCTAAGATGTTGATCAGTGAGTTTAAGAGGTGCTGGTAGTCAGGGTAGCTGCTTCCCCTGTTATACTGTGCAAAGCTAAGTGCAAAGCTAAGCTAATCTAATTGGCTGTTGGCTCCAGCAGGATATTTAACGCACCGATACGAGAGTGGTATTAATCATCTAATTCTCGGCAAGAAAGCAAATAAGTGTACTTCCCAAAATGTCGAACTATTCCCTTAAGATAATCCTCAGCACTAACTGTACTCCACTCCTCTGTGCTCTCGGCTACTGTCCAATAAACAGTTGAATTAAGCTTTTAGGTAACGCAATCAACCTTTTGGCAGATGACATCGTAAACAACTCTCGCGTCATCCCCCCTCAGCATTTGTCTCTCATCCCACAGTTCATGTATTTAAACCACAATAAATAGATCGGATGTCTACAGGGAGAACCACCCTTCTCTCTCTCTCTCTCTCTCTCTCTCTCTCTCTCCCTCTCTCTCTCTCTATCTCTCTCTCTCTTCGCCTCTCACAAATCTAATCTTCTCTACCAGGCTTATACTTACTGTACATGTGGCTGCTGTACAAGGCTACTCTCAGTGATTGCTCATAAACTTTGTGAGTGGAGTGACAGAGCGGTGATTGGTGGAATGATAAGTGGACTCACAGGGACACTATGTGCTGATACAGCAATGCTGTCCGGGTGAGCGATGACCTTCACACAGCGGTCAATGTCGGTGGCGAAACGGAAGGCCTCATCCGCCCTCAGACACCGATCCCTCCTCGAGCACCTGTGGAGCAAAAGGCCCTCATTATTAAATATTCATAAAACAGTGCAGCCAGTTTAGAGACGAATAATGGCAAACGCTCCGATTTGTTTTGAATTAGTCCGGCAGTCATCCACTATGTAGACAACTACTGGATGTATTGCCATGAAAGTGTCACGTTTTTAGTTGTGAGCGAAATGTCTCAGCAACTATTGGACGGATCGTCATGAAATTGGGTTCTTGAATCATTTTGGTGGCTTTTCATCCAGCACCATCATTGAGTCAAAATTACAGTTCGTCCAATGCCGCGATTTGACCTACATAAGTAAACGAGACAATCAGAGAGAAGATTGTCTATTTCTATATAGTTCTTAATGCTTGTCATCGGTGCAATGAGTCGGATTCCGCACAAAATCAGACAACATCGCACATGTTCACCACAAACTCTTTCAGCGACCAACCGACGGTGGACAGACCCAGATCCGGCTTCGCTGCGGCCTTTGGCTCGCATTCGAAGCCCGGGTGGGAAGAGGAGAGCTCCTCGCCCGGCAGCAGCATCTCCTCCTCCGGCCCAGGAGCAGAGCTTCGACTCGCTACTCCACCAGTTCCTGACCGTAGCCGAAACATTGACACCACCGTTGCCTGACAGGAGGGAAGAGAGGCACGCGAGAACCAGGACTGCACGGAGCAGACTGTCAGACCCCGGCTTGGGTAAAATGAGAGGTTTTTCCAAAGGGATTCGAAACAAAATGAAGGTTCCTCTTAGTAGCTTTAAACATCAGCTTGTTAGCATGCACTTGACCACACTATAGTGATGTCCATGTCTCGATTGTTTTTGATGATTGATCATTTCCTCCACACAGCTGTTAGTCAGATCAGATGCTTGGTCAGATCGTTCCCTATATATTTTTAATATACTTTTCCGCAGAGCACATTACACCGAGTGCAACAGTTGAATAAGCTTCAGCTCCCTAAATCCCAACAGGCAATTAAAAGTAAGAAGTGAAAGGGTTGGCACCATAGTGCGACCTTAGAATAACCGTGTAAGAGAGAAGTATAGGCTACATTTAAAGTTATCGCAAAGGATGGAAAGGATTTCTAAAACTTTGAATAATTTGTCCAGTTTTAGAAACGGGGATTTGTTGTTGAGATAGTTTTTTAATGTGGTTGTATTGATACTGATTTCTTTGAAAGAGGCATTGTCGGAGTTAGGTCTCTGCAGGCTCAGATAGTAACAGGCATTAAAAAGAACAAGAATCTCTCAGCCGTAGAGTTAAATCGTAATGGAAAACTCAGAGTCTTTTGGCTGAACACCATCATCTCTTTCTTTTAACAGTGTAATGCGCACAGCGAGGGGAGATACTACTTAATACACTCTCAGATGCTGCTGAGGGGGTGGCGCCTCCTGAGAGCTCAAAGAGCGCCGAGGCCTCGGCTGTAATTACAACACGATAAAAAGGCGGAATGGAAACGCGGTGACAGCTGTTGCCGGCTCAGCTCCTTCAGGCGGACCGGAGCCACAGGAGTATAGACGGTCACCTTCTGACCGCTCATCAACTGAAGTGCCTCCGAAAAAAAAGGGACACCTTTCATCTCAGACTGTCTTTCATTGCCTTTTATTTTGCCTCCTTTATTCGCAGCGTTTTGTCTGATGGAGCCATTTGTTCCCTTTTCCCGTCAGGCTGTGCGCCTGTTCAGCCCCCAACACACTCTGTCAGATGGGTGCTCTGGTGCACCGTTCTAAGGGTGGGAAAGTGAGATCCTGAAAGAGGTCTACATGAAACTCTTTGAGAGTCCTTCAGAGGCTGTAAAAAGACCCCAATCAGGATTTATTGGACAGAAAAATAAAGTAGCCTCATTCTGCAACGTGAGGGATCATGATTCACTTTGGGTTACTTGAGGGAACAGCAGCCTATCTATTCACTGATAAGTGTAAGGCATTAATTCAAATAAACAGCATAATGGGACTTGCAGACAAAGTCAGCACTCCGGGGGGGGGGAAGGAAAAACTACTGTTTAATGAGCCAATTTGGATTAAGACAAAACATGATTTTTTCCTCTCACTTCACAATTTGATAACACTGAGAGCTGCAATTTAAATAATGCTGATCATCATCAAGATATTGCTCGCTGAAATGCAGTTGTCATATGATGAGACGGGGGTTAATCCCCGGCTGAGGTCAGCGAACCAACTCTGCCGCTGTTTGGGAAACACAGCGTTTTAATCGCCTGAATCCCCTTTTCTCCATATCGAGGTATTATGCAAGTTAACCTGGGGTCAGATAATTAAGATGGAAGCGATAAGCTTGCTCCATAAGGTCCAAAATGTTCCCCGGGTATGTAGACGTGCAGTTTGTGCACCCGCAGCGACTGACTAATCCCTCCCTCCGCCAGCCCATTAACACCAGTCGCCCCCCCCGCCCCCCCCCCCCCCCCACCCCCCGGCCTGACGGACAATAACATCTGCAGTTTCTGCTGTGCTGAATATCTCTACTTTAGGAGGGAACACCCTTGTCCCGCCAGCTGTTGGTAACGGTGAACTCCAAGGGAGGACAATATCTCTGTTATATTAAACTGCACAAATCACATGACCACGTGCTTACCCTTATAGCTTTCTAAAAGCTGTTTGGTAAGCATTAATGTTGTGGTTTTAATCGCTCGGCTGTGATGTGTGTAAGCGAGCATCATGGGAGTAGAAGGAGGGGACAAGACTCACATGTTGAACAGGACACACCAGCCGCAGTGGGGGTCACCAGAGCTCAGACACTCAGCACATGTGCCGTACTGCTCACAGGCCTCCACGGGGACCTGAGCCACCTACACCAGAAGAAGGACAGGGAGGGTTAAAGCACACGTTCAGGAAAGATACACAGATACATTAGTAAAAACAGACAGGAAGAAAAAGTATAAAGTTCTCCATTGGCTTCCTTCAACAAACTGTTTTGGCATCTGTAAATGTATGGACATGATTCCAGTGGCAGTCAAATTGAATTTACTGCACACACAAAAAATGAAGCCCAATGTGATCCTTTTGTTGTGTACGTTGATCCACATCAGACAAGTCTTTATTTTCAAGCCTTTCTGCATTTTTACCTTCACTGTATAGTCTACAGCGGAGGTGTAACGCGATTCCTTTACAGCTGAAAGCGAACATGAAACCTTAGAACAAACCAGATATCTGGAAGTGCAAATCATAACACAAGGGCCGCAGGAGGGAAACTAAACAAACCACAGACAATCGCTTGGAAGCTGCAAAAGTATTGAGAACTGAACACACAATGAGGCGGGCCTGCCCCCCAAAGCAATGGTAGGGGAAACACTGGGGCATATCTAGCGCCTCCACACGGCGCTCAACATGGCGACGGCTGAGCCGGCGACTGGAAGCTAACGGTGATAACGACGGCAACAGTGCTGACAGAGCTAACGGTGTTGACCTGAGGGGGAACCGGAGGGTGGGCACTACGCTACAGCGGCGACACTGTCGGTGTGGAAGGCATTATCAGCTGTGACCACCATATGAGAGCAATGCAGGGTCGGGAGCTGGCCAACTCTTGACGACACAAAAAATGCTAAATACTTGCATGTGAATATCATATGAATAGGGCTTATAAAAAACAGAAGGAGTGGATCTTGTATGCTCTGCCTTTATCAAGGTTGAAATGAGTAATAGAGTTTGCCTTCTCAATCGTTCCGCACAAAGTGATTGGTTATAATATGACATGAAATAATATGATATTTGCAATCTGTTTGAAAGTACAGTTTACAGTAAAAATAGAAATGAATCTGACAAAAAAAACAACTGGTGTGTAAGTGGCTGCCTTTAGTGTGATACAAGTTAAAACAAAAAGGGCGCCATGGACTGGAAATAATGTCGACAAAGGCATTCAATCAAAACATCCTGATGAAATAATAAGCAGTTCTGATGAGGAGAGACCAAATCCCATTTCATCATGTCCATGTCCATTTTGCAACATGTGGAAGCCTCATCACTGCTCACACTGTAGAGTTTCTCTGAGGAAAACAACTCCTTTTTTCTACTTCCTGCTGCTGACACAAACATGCAGCACTGTGGTTTTTGCCTCCAGATATTTTGTTCCTCAGATGTCAGAAAGCGCATGAAATGACACCACAACTTTTCTTTGAAACATTTGATAAAGGATGTTATTGCGCTACTATAGCATGCCAGCTTGTGGACCTCTGCTATAGTAATTACACTGGAATAATTCAATATTGTAATTTAACGTCTTTCAATGGAATCGTAACGTGCTGAAATCATATCCAGATATATATATACATATACTGTATATACAGTGGGTACGGAAAGTATTCAGACCCCTTTAAATTTTTCACTCTGTTTCATTGCAGCCATTTGCTAAAATCAAAAAAGTTAATTTTATTTCTCATTAATGTACACTCAGCACCCCATCTTGACAGAAAAAAACAGAAATGTAGAAATTTTTGCAAATTTATTAAAAAAGAAAAACTGAAATATCACATGGTCATAAGTATTCAGACCCTTTGTTCAGTATTGAGTAGAAGCACCCTTTTGAGCTAGTACAGCCATGAGTCTTCTTGGGAATGATGCAACAAGTTTTTCACACCTGGATTTGGGGATCCTCTGCCATTCTTCCTTGCAGATCCTCTCCAGTTCCGTCAGGTTGGATGGTGAACGTTGGTGGACAGCCATTTTCAGGTATCTCCAGAGATGCTCAATTGGGATTAGGTCAGGGCTCTGGCTGGGCCAGTCAAGAATGGTCACAGAGTTGTTCCGAAGCCACTCCTTTGTTATTTTAGCTGTGTGCTTAGGGTCATTGTCTTGTTGGAAGGTGAACCTTCGGCCCAGTCTGAGGTCCAGAGCACTCTGGAAGAGGTTTTCTTCCAGGATATCTCTGTACTTGGCCGCATTCATCTTCCCTTCAATTGCAACCAGTCGTCCTGTCCCTGCAGCTGAAAAACACCCCCATAGCATGATGCTGCCACCACCATGTTTCACTGTTGGGATTGTATTGGGCAGGTGATGAGCAGTGCCTGGTTTTCTCCACACATACCGCTTAGAATAACCAAAAAGTTCAATCTCATCAGACTCATCAGACCAGAGAATCTTATTTCTCATAGTCTGGGAGTCCTTCATGTGTTTTTTGGCAAACTCTATGCGGGCTTTCATATGTCTTGCACTGAGGAGAGGCTTCCGTCCGGCCACTCTGCCATAAAGCCCCGACTGGTGGAGGGCTGCAGTGATAGTTGACTTTGTGGAACTTTCTCCCATCTCCCTACTGCATCTCTGGAGCTCAGCCACAGTGATCTTTGGGTTCTTCTTTACCTCTCTCACCAAGGCTCTTCTTCCACGATTGCTCAGTTTGGCTGGACGGCCAGGTCTAGGAAGAGTTCTGGTCGTCCCAAACTTCTTCCATTTAAGGATTATGGAGGCCACTGTGCTCTTAGGAACCTTGAGTGCTGCAGAAATTCTTTTGTAACCTTGGCCAGATCTGTGCCTTGCCACAATTCTGTCTCTGGGCTCCTTGGGCAGTTCCTTCGACCTCATGATTCTCATTTGCTCTGACATGCACTGTGAGCTGTAAGGTCTTATATAGACAGGCGTGTGCCTTTCCTAATCAAGTCCAATCAGTTTAATTAAACACAGCTGGACTCCAATGAAGGAGTAGAACCATCTCAAGGAGGATCAGAAGAAATGTGAGTTAAATATGAGTGTCACAGCAAAGGGTCTGAATACTTATGGCCATGTGATATTTCAGTTTTTTGTTTTTTAATAAATTTGCAAAAATTTCTACATTTCTGTTTTTTTCTGTCAAGATGGGGTGCTGAGTGTACATTAATGAGAAATAAAATGAACTTTTTTGATTTTAGCAAATGGCTGCAATGAAACAAAGAGTGAAAAATTTAAAGGGGTCTGAATACTTTCCGTATCCACTGTATATGTATATATACATATACTTGATAATATTATGTTAATTTTGCACGAAAGTGCTAAATTAAATGTCAAAATGAGAAAAATAACTCATTCTGACAAGAGTATATGAAAATATGCTTTACCATGCTGTTATTTCACATAATAAATTCACATTTGTTTATTGAACTTGCAATTATCGTTATATGAAATCTCCCAGTCCACATTATAAGTTGAGCTGCTATTTTCCACACACAGGAGCACACACAAGCAAAAAGACGAAGTCAAACTGACAGACGGACAACCACGCACCGTGCTACTGCTGCAACCGCAATGTGTGAATGTTTGGCAAAGCATGAGCTCTCCATGACGGCCAGCACCAGCCCTGCACTCAGCTGCAGCTTGTGCCCGCCTATTTTATACTATATAATTATTCAAGGTCTGGACGTATGATGCAAGCAATTTCCTGATGTAAGCAATCACAAATGAAGAGTGGATTATGGATTAGAGTGTCTCCGGTGCTCCTGATAGCATAAGTGGGTGCTCTCTCAGGTCTGTGTTGGCAAAATGGATTGTCTGCTGCTCCCAATGAAATAACTTTCACTTTTTTTCCAGCGGTTCAGAACCCAAAGGTGCATTCCATTAGCAAAATGATTTTGCAGCACAGGAGGGGCTGAGTTTCTAAGTCCATATGCGACGCAGTGGGAATAATCCATGAATTTTTTTGTGGATGGGAACTCGTCTAAAATAACAAAGTTGGTCTGTGGTCGTTAGGAAGCATGACCTTTACAAGGGGAGAGCTATGGATCGTCTGCCTTCTGCTGCCCCGCTAACAATCAGATGTGAAGCTCTCGCTGCACATAAGAGTTGATGTTTAATGGAGCTGACCTGAGCAGGAACGCACTGTGTTGAATCCAAATAAGATCAAAAGACATGACCTTAGGTTTTATGTTGACAAGGTCTAAAAAGCGTAGCAGCTCAGCATGTGAATTAGAATCGGTCAACATGACGACGGCTGAACTGGCGGCTACCAGCTAACAGTGCTAGCAGCATGAACAGCGCTGACAGAGCTAACGGTGTTAACCTGGGTGGGGGGGGGGGCACCGGAGGGTGGGCACTACACTTCCCCGACGACGCTGTGGGTCAGAACAGTGGCGCTTGGTTCTATAATATAAAACATATCAGTAAATCCCCTTTTGACGTGTCTAAAAAATGGTGGATGCTAACAAGTGGCTAAATGAAACTACAAAACGTCATCACACAAAGTGCAGGTTTTCCTTTTAGTGTGTCCAGCTCAATGACAGTCAGATAATTAATGTCTTAAATGTACAGGAATTGATTTGGATATTTCATGTTGTCTTTCCTGGTTGAATCTAAATTTAATTGAAAGTTCATATTGTGGAGATGAGTTTCACTTCTCAGTGTAATGAATATATGATGTCTTTTTATCAACTTTCTACAATGGTGGATTACTGAATTAAGCCTTCATCCTCAGGTTATGTTCAATGTACTGTCAATTCTTCATACATCATTCATGATCAGTAGTATTATTTTATCAAGCTTTTTTTGTCTTGTCTTCTCTGAGATAATTTCTCCAGGTGAAACTGATTATTTAAAGCAAACACAGAAAACCAATGACAGCCCTCCGCTCCCAAGAAAGTGAGAAATCTCAGTCTGGCTGCCTTTTGAATGATCGTCAGCGTTAGATCATAATGTCCACTTTTCCGGCTCTGGGAATTACAAAATCCTCATCTTTTCATAACATCTGGGATGACCTCACACTAATGCTCGATCTTATCATCTTATCAGCTCACTATCGCTTTAACACTTTCATCCGGATTTACTGGAACTTTACGAATGCTGTCAGATGAGCATGCAGGCTTTTAGACCTCTGCACTACAGTTATCCTTTTTCCGAAATCTGGCTCTGAACAATCCACAGCCATCTCTAGACAGATACTTACGGTCAAGGAGTTATCTGGTCATATCTAGGATTTTGTGTTTTTAGGATACAGCAAAAGTTCGTTTGGTAGCACTTTATAATAAGTACACACTATGAAGCATTAGTTAAGTATGAGTAAACACTTAATTCATCATTTATAAAGCATTGTTCCCACATTAATAATTCATTAGTATGCAGTTCATAACAGTTATAAATGTTTTATTCTTGATTAATAAGCTCGTCTATTATGTGTTTCATTATTGTGTTTTCATACTTTATAAATGATGGATTCCCCATTTGTAAATGAAGTATTATATATTTTACAAACCAATTATTAAGGAGTTGTAGATGATCAATAAGATCATTTATAAAGTGTTAGTAAATGATTAATAACTTATTTAGATGTACATTATTCATGCATTTATATATATATAATGGTTAGGGACTATGTTAATATATGCTTTATAAACACATTAATACTGCAATTCATGATTGATTCATGATGTATTAAGGTAGTTACTACTCGTTAGTAAAGTGTTTTATGTGACCTCATCTAAAGTGAG